TCTTCCGTCTGTTATTAACGGTGTGATGTAAGGCTTATGTTCATTGTAACGTCTTTCCTTGTAATTTATGCCATAAACAGTTTCCTTTTCTTTGTTGTTTTTGTTTTTATTTTAGCTTACTTTTTACTGTTTTTTTCTTTTTTTGTTACTTTGCCAGAACGACAAGAAGAAACATAAACAAGTCAGGTAACACTTTGAGAGAAAAAAATGCTTTTACAAGCAAAAAATTATTGTGCATAAATATTTTTTTCATATTTTAGATTCATTTTATTTTATTTGTTTATTTCTTTCTTTACTACATTTTTTTTTTGTTAGTTTTTATCGTTTTTTCTTCTTTTTTTTAATGTTTTATTTTAAGAGAGAGAATAGACGAAGAAGAAGAAAAAAAAGAAGAAGAAATATTGCAAATAAATTGTCAAACTGAAAAAAATAAGTAATTTTTTTTTAATTATTCTTTTTTCTTTTGCTTTTATCTTTTACTTGCAAATGTTGTAGTTTCATTGTTATTGTAACATCTGGTTTTTGCAGAAGATTGTGCTTAATGATAGCTTTACTTTTTGCCATTATCGCTTTAGAGTTGCCTGTTACCGACAATTTAAAGAAACAACAAAGCTGTATAGACATAATCTTAAAATCATATATGTTGTATAACATCTGTTTGCATAATTTGCAACATTGAATTAAGGTAAAAACGAGGAGAGAGTTTATAAATTGTTTGTGTTTGGTATTCGTAATACGTCAAGAACATATAAACAATACAACAATTCTTGAAATTACTTAAATAAACTCTGTTAAAAAAGACTGAACAACAAGAACCCTTTTAATACTTTCATGCATCTCCTAGAAGGTGTCTGAAAGTCTTTAAAAGTTGATCATTGAAAAACACTCATGAAGCAGAAAATTAAAATGTAAGAATAATAGGTGTATAGAAATAACTAGGAAACGAAACAATAACTGGTGTTTTTTTACTTACTTATATGTTTATTTACTTATTGCTATTAAATTAATCTTGCTTTCAAACAATTCCTCTTTAAGCATCT